CGTTAGTTGTTCCGTTATTACCGTACAAGAATGGTTTTAATTTTAACTTTTTCGCCGATTCTCGTTTAAGAGTTCTTGTTTAACAAGATCCGTTGCTCTTTTGTTCGCTCCAACTTCAGCGGCGAGCCAATTTTAACTTGTTTTACTTGAAAGAATCGCCTCTTGTTGCAAATCAGGAGCTTGATAGCAAAAAAAAATAGTTGAGATCGACTGCTATGAAAATTCAAATTCATTTTTATTCAGTCTAAGATGTTGGAAACTTTGTATTTGTAGAATTGTACGTAACTGAAATTCTATCATCTGCTGCTTTTGAGAGTTTTTCTTATTTAAGCTGTGGTGGAGTTTTAAAAATATAATTATTGGCAAAATACGCCATGTATAATAATGTTAAAAAAGGCCGGATGGGGCGGAAAAACAACATAGGATGAAGAAGAAAAAAGGGACTGCACTTACCTTTAAGCTCCGAGCTGCAGATGATGCAGATTGCAAAGGTCAAGCCATTTTTTCTTTCAGGACCAAACTGCTTTCTGTAACACTTTTTACACATTAACACACACACAGTAAAAAAGTACACAAGTTCGATATTATACCGATAGCAAAAGTTTAAGATAACGCGAGAACGAGTTCACTTCCCGGGCGGCTATATATCGAAAAACTTTTAATTTTTCTTCCAAAACCAAACTAAGTAGCACATTTTATACACATACAGTGTCATACAGTATACAGTGATCAAATAGTACTTGAGTTTGATATTATACCGAAAACAAAAGTTTTAAAATAACGCGAGAAACAATAATTGGCGCGAGAGCACTTCCCGGGCGGCCATGTTTCGGAAAACTAAACGGAAGTACAGCGACATCTGTGGTCGTTGCGGAAACCTTAAGCCATATTAAACAGTACTGNGCGCAGCTAGCATCCGCGCCGCCCGTCCGTCGTTGCCCAACGAGCGGTGTGACGTCATCGCCCGTATTCCAGGGGTGCTATCAGTTTTCGCGCGTTCCCATATTGAATTGCTTATAAAATATTCAATTTTCGTGATATCAACAAATTTTTTTCACAGTTAGTCTTATTTTAGCTTAAAGTTTTTGTTAGGGCTGAAAAAGGGGAATAAATTTTGATTTACATCTTCCTCATTTGTTTATGGTCTACAGTTTGCAATGTGCAACTGCCCTCGTCACACATATTGCTCAAGTAGCAACTGGGCTACCTAAATATCTAGATTTTTAATGGGCACACGGACACGGATATTGAGGTCTTTAATAATCGTATTATTGTGTAACAATGAGGATGAAAAGGCAGAATTAAACAGTTTAATTTTATCAACGCTCCAGTATTCAACGATGGCTGCGGCTGACACAATAACAACGCTTGTCAGCGAGCTGCGACCGCAGGCCCGCTGCGTAAGGCGACGCGATAAGCTGCCTTTGACCAGTTTACTGAAATAGCTGTAATTAGTCATTAACACAGCGCAAGTATAATCATTTAACCGCGAATATTATTCTGCATTTAACAGTGGATTAATATTTTAACTAATGAATGATCTGCATTTTGAAATTGTAAAATTATGCAATTTTCAATTTTGCGACAACAGTTACCGAACCGCAATACAACAAAACGTTTCGTAATATTTGTTGTGCCTATGTATCGGTTTTGGATCTATTCACTGGTACATAATATGTTTCATACACCCACGGCAGAAGGCGTGAAATGTAAATCCGATTTCCCTTCACGTGCATGCACAAGCTGCGTTTGTCGTGAATACTCTTTAATTTATTGTATCTGATTAACACGTGTCAATGTCGCAGGGACATAAATAATTACGCGAACACGTCACAGGGGCTTTAAATTTTATGTGTGTTAAATATTGAGTTGGATCAACTGGGTCGGAAAAATGAGGACTTTGGTGGCTTCTCGGAGGTGTAGGATTGCAGGATGCTCATTGTAGTGAATGACCGGCCAGTGGTCAGCGACGGCGCGGGAGTGCGTTTAAACGACTACACATCACATCGACGGCGCGCTTGCCGTGAGCGGATGCAGTGCGGTGATGAAACTGACACAGATTCTAACGCGTATTTGGTAATCGAACTACAGCTCGTGAAAGTCTCGCAGGACGGCCATATCTCACGCATTGTACTTGTCCCACTTAGAGATACTCTCGACATTTTGACGGCACCGAAACCCAAAATCTAAATGATACTTGCAACTCTTCTTTCGTCCGGTCTTTATTGTTCATAAACGGCAGCCCCGTACGCACGTACTGCCACGCAAATGTGTTGTATGTATTGTGTTCGCGTCCCAGATTTGGGAAGCGAAACTGCAATCGTTGATTGGTGTATTACGACGTTGCTACATTTTCGCCTTGCATTCAATTCCATGAGAAGTATTGCCTTTTGGCTAGTAGGTCACCTACAAATGCACAGTACCTAACAATGCTGAGCTTGTTTACAAATGTAATGTGTAGTGTTTTAATTGATTTATGCTTTGTTCGATTTTAAATCACGTATGGATTGAAACAACTATTTACGAACGTGTTAAGTGTAATAAATCAGGTACTGGTTATGATTGGTGAAATGGTGAGAGAACTACGTGATTCCATCTATAATCATGGTTTCTTGACGTTCTCTCCGTATAATCTACTTTCAATTGAAAGCGTACGATTGACGCATAGTAAGTGGTGTGCGTCATTTATAACACGTCCTACATTTTATATATCAAAGATTTCACATAGTTTATATGTATTACTAGCTTTCCACCCGCGGCTTCGCCCGCGTGGAATTTTGTCTGTCACAGAAAAACTTTATCGCGCGCGTCCCTGTTTCAAAAACCGGGATAAAAACTATCCTATGTTCTTTCCCGGGACTCAAACTATCTCTATGCCAAATTTCATCAAAATCGGTTGCGAGGTTTAAGCGGGAAAGCGTAACAGACAGACAGACAGACAGACAGAGTTACTTTCGCATTTATAATATTAGTTGGGATGTTGGAATAATTTGATTTTCAGACAAATATTTCATGCTTTCATTATTTTGTGACTACAGTCTACAGTTTTAAATTTTTACAAAACGTAGAGTTTTTATGTTCTACGTAGGTATGCGTTGAATCATATCGTTCCCTATTTTTGAGTCATGTGTCGTAGGTACCGGAATAGCAAGCTTGAGTGTGTAATGATTCATTTGTCAAGCTGAAAATATTCTAAAAAAATTATAATAAAAAAATCTTTTTTAAAAAACAAGCTTTATTAAGAAATGCAGTTGTACTAAAACGCAACAAATAATTGTATGCAAGGTTCAAATAATTTCGAAAGCTTGTATCGCTCATGGAATTTATTCCTCTTTTTTGTTTGCGCTACAAGCTTTCGAAATTATTTGAACCTTGCATACAATTATTTGTTGCGTTTTAGTACAACTGCATTTCTTAATAAAGCTTGTTTTTTTTATTATAATTTTATTTTACACTTTTTAGTTGTTTATCAATCTCAGGGCCCTGGTAATCATCTAGCACTAAAGTGCTCAAAAAGACAAATCCAACGAACCCAAATTCTACGCGATTCCGCCGTTTCGTTTAGGAGTTCCTATGGCCACCTCCTGACTCCATCATCAGACCAGCTCAATGGTACCATAATATTGCATTGTCATCGTACTTACATAAGTATACCAAATTTCAGCTCAATCGGTTGAGGAGAAGTGGTCTTAAATTCAGTTGCAAGATTTGTCCCACACATACTAACAAGTGAAGTCAATATAAAGCTTGTAATAATAATAAAAATAGAGTGTTTCAGATTAAATTACAGAGAACAATAAACTTACAAAATAAAAGGAAACCACGAGATTATCCAATGTCCCGGTATCGGAGTCGGACAGTCCACCCACTTACAATTAAAGCTAAATGCCTGTCTGGCAAAATAAGACGCATTGTTATTGTTGCAAATATTGCTATTAAACTTATAGTATAAACAATTTGTAATCATTTGTTTTTATTCTACTGCCATAAAAATGATTTATTGCTTGTAAAATGGGATCTTAAAGCACTCGGAGTTAAGATAAAACATGATACCCAGATTTCTCTGCACTTAACTACTGTTGAAAGTTTTAAAACTATGCCCATAAAATCTCTGGGGCCAATGTCGGACGCTATTAAACGTATCTCCGAGTGAACCAACAACATTAAGCGACTAAATAAACTGACAGCAAAACTATTACCTGCTGCTAAAGATCCCAAACAATGTAGCTTCATCCAACTCCCCCGAGTTCAGGTACCGGAGAAGCCTTTGTTTGAATTTGTTTGTGTGGAATACATCGAGTGAGACCGCCAACTATTTTACGCGGAAAATCTATTCAATTACAACTTCAAAAAAGTCATATCCCGTTACAAAATCGTATTACTAAAATGTATTTATGGTGTGGAGCGTCGCTTCGTGCCATCGAGTGCATTTATTAATATTCACCAACAAAAGGTGTTCTAGGGCGTAAACACGCTGCCAGTTAAACTTATTACTAGGTAAAATCGATAAACTAGCTTGGGAGTTGCACTGGATGGATCAATGCTGCGGAAATAGGTTTATGTCACTCCTTTGTTTGTATTTTCCTGTTACCAGCAATATTGTATTTTTCTAGCGATCGATTATACAGACAGTAGTTGCAGCTAATACTAGTTGTAATGGCTAGATATTCAGGGCGTATTTGTTCTTTAGACGCGGTGGTGGAAAATTTCATGATACATAGTAGTAGAGTTCATAAAGATGGTAGTCCTATACACACGCTGAGGGAGCAGGTTCTAATGATGATGATGAATTGTTCACTCGATTTTGAAACTATGAACAAAAAGCTTGATTGACAAAAAGCTTATATCAATGTGCCTGTCAATTTCACAACTCTGAAATTTTCATTTCCATGATCTTTAGATGTCCATCCATTCATCCATCCAACGCTGGATCTTCCGCTTTACACCGCGTCCAGCTTGCAGTGAACAACAAACAGTATCCATGTGTTGTGTTCTCGCAGGCTCGGGTCAGGCAGCGAGTGCGGTGGAGGGTCGGGCGGCGGCGCGCCCGCTCCTCAGTCGGCGCGCGTCTCATCGAACGGCGCCGGAGGGATGGCGGTGAGCCGCGTGCCCAGCCCGCTGCACGACGGGAATACGCCCGTCGCAGAGAACTGGTGCTTTACACAGGTAATGCAGGCAATTATTATACCATTAAAGTGGTTGCGATGGGCATGCCCACAACAACCCTAATAGACTTGTGACATCACACTTTCACGGTGTGCACAAGCTTTTTGTGTGTGCTGGATACGCACCTGTTTTGGTAGTAGGTATAGGGCTCTAAGAACCAGTGCGTGCATGGCTGCACTAGAGGCCCAAAATAATGGCTGTAGTTTCGACTCTACATCCTAGGATACTGTAATTGAAAGCAGCTTCGTAAGTCCACACCAAATATGGGGGGCGTAGCTCTAAGGCAAGTGCGTGTGAGTATGGCTGAACTAAAGACTCAAAACATTGGTCGTGGTTTTGGCTCTACGTCACAGGATTCTAACATAGAGCCGAAAGTTTTACGCTATATATCGGGGCTAATGCTTTCTTCATGCATACCCTACGCCGCGCCGATGTGTCTAATTGTCATGCATTGCGGCACCAACCAAGCGTTGGTATGACTATCGCAATATGTATAAAATGTACGGTGGTCCGCTACAACATGTTTAGTTGTATAAGTTCTAAGCGCAAAGCTGCTGTTATTGTCTATGTGGCATAGACAATTCCACTGCGTTTACAAATCTGACAGTGGGATAATTTCTACCTCTTATGGATTGGTATAACCGCCACTCCAAGGGAATTTTACAACCATTGTCAATTCTCTACTACACATTTTAAAAGTTTTGGCTATTCGTCTGTGAATTGTGCTCTGGATCATGGGCAACTGCCTTCGATTGCGGAACTAACGAGTATTGTATAACATCTAAATAAATTAGTTGTTGTACTATCAAAGAACCTTGGTTAAATACCACCAAAATCCTTGTTCTTTTAGACGATGTTGTTTTTGCCTACCGGAAAGATAAAGGTCATGACTAGACGATGTTTGCAGTTAAGATGGCACCCTTCAGTACCGGTTAGTCGTTTTAAGCTAATGGCTCCTCGTAAAACTTAACCATGGCCGGTGTCATAAATTATCGACTCCTCGTCAGATGTACAACAACGAACATACGATAAGACTCCGTTATCGGTGAACTTGAAACGTTACGCGTACGCATGTGTTAACTTGTGATTATGAACCAACAAGGAAGTAGCTATACACACATACGTGGTCGCTTCGAGTGTGGAGGTGAACCGTGCGTCACGTGTGGAGAAGCTAGCTATCGAGCAATTGCAATGCGCGGACATCGGATGGCAACGTGACGGACATCATTGCGAACCCCTTAAACTTATGATAATGATAAGTTAAACGATTTTAATTAAATAAGTAATAATTTATGCCGTATATTATTTCAATGATACGACAGATGACGCTTGAGGATATAGGAACACATTAAAATCTTAACTAATGTAACATAGCTCGTTAACTCTTAATGCAACAGTCGTTTGATGGTCACTGCTCAGAACAATTGGGTCGACCGTTGGACGACTTAGCCGCTGACCCGGTATTACCTTTTTTGATGTTTTTTGCCAAAAATCTATTTAGTTCGCGAACAGTAACGGTATATTATTTCGCTTGGTGTACGCCGACGCTTCGGCTCGGCACGTATACTTATTAAGGTCTGTGCCTCAGCTTTTTCAATTTTAACGCGTCCGTTGATGATGGTTCGCCGACCGTTAATAACGGCTCGTATACCTTAATGTTCACTTAGGTATAACATAGTGCGTTGCGGGGTGTGCACAATAGATTTTGTCGTGGGTCGCGTTGGCTTTTCCGCGTGTGCATAACCCTGAATCTAAGCTGCTGCGAGCACGTGCCCTCGGCGCCTCTGTGCCCATACACGTGCCGGGCGATAACCACTCTCTTCATTACTTGGAAACGCGTCAACAATAAACCGCGTGTTATCGTCAGAATTAACGCTCTCCTCAAATGTACCACCTCAAGCTTTCAGAAACAACAACGTTATTGCTTTACGAAAAGGTAATCACAACACTACATTGGGTTAATGAAGCAGACATTTTACGACCGTTATTTGATGGTTGATGACGTGACATAAGATAGACTTGTTGTTAACTTGTTAAGTTGTTATTATGATGACAAGTTATTACAAACGGGTACAGACACGACTCGTATTATGACTTCTATTTATTCGACTTCGAGCGTTTATAGTTATTGATTATCTACTGGTTTCTAAGTATGAGTTGTTACTATGAGACAAAGGAACACTTCGCAACAGAAACAAGTTGATATTTTATGCAAATTATTTAGGTTCCATTCTTATACTTACTGAACAAATAAGACCTGACTAGTTAGGCATTCTGCGTACATAACAAACATAATCGTATCATCTCCACGTATGGTAGTTAGTACGCATTGAAATCTGCAAACGGACGTTATCTCAACGTGCGGGGATGATGCGGGCGGCCTTGGATCGGGTCGGCGACCGGGCGAAGACCCCAGCAGCACCGCAAGCCCGAGCCCGCAAGCCAAGCAACGGTCGGGGGCAACGACCACCAGCCTGCGCCCGCGCCTCGACCACCTCCTCCTGACCTTCACTGGCCAAGCGTCCACCCTGACACACCAGGGCCCCATAGGCTACATACCACACAACTAACTCTCACGCACGCCACTTTTTAAACTATCGTTGCGCAACCATTATCTTTGACAAAAGCAAACAAAACTTTGTTGGAAGACAGGACCTACAAAACGCTTGTTGGCATTCATTCCTCGAGTTAACGAGACCGCCGTTAATAAAACAAGAGATACCGCAAACAAGGGAGACGTAACCTTCTCAGTAGTTCGTTTACTAAAGTTCCATTCGCCATAAATAAGTCGTAAAGCGTGGGCCCGTGCCGGCGTGTGTTTTACTGGATACCTGTCAGCAAAGCAATTAGTGACCGAACACAATGGAATTTGTTAGGAACCATAGAATAAATGGATAATAGACCCTAGATTCGTTCCGAACGATTTATGGGCCTCAGAGAAACTGCCCTTTGGAGGACATCTTGAGAAAGTCATGACATTAAATTCTTATTTTTACTTTTATTGCGAGAACATTAATGCTATGTGCATATTAATAAAGACGCCATTTAATAATTCAACATTAAAAAATACAGTAAAAAATGATATTACCGATTTAATAATTGTCCAACATTTTCCTTGTCCACTGAATATTTTTATTAATGTCGTGTTTTCTTTTGTTTCAGGTCAAAGTGGTGAAATTCAGTTACATGTGGACAATTAATAATTTTAGTTTTTGTAGAGAAGAGATGGGTGAAGTGTTAAAATCATCGACTTTCTCAGCCGGTGCTAGTGACAAATTAAAATGGTGTCTGCGCGTAAATCCCAAAGGACTCGATGAAGAGAGCAAAGACTATTTATCATTATATCTATTATTAGTGTCGTGTAATAAATCAGAAGTGCGTGCAAAGTTCAAATTCTCAATATTGAACGCGAAACGGGAAGAAACAAAAGCGATGGAGTCACAGCGAGCATACAGATTTGTACAAGGCAAAGACTGGGGATTCAAAAAGTTTATCCGAAGGTGAGCATATTTTTATTATTATTTCATACAAACCAGACGTAAGTCTGTCCGAACCGTCATTTTTAACCATCATGTTTTCCCGCTCTCAGACTTTGATTGAACTAGCAAGGGCCAGACCCCATTTAATGACAATGGGGAGTATGCCCTTCGTATGATAATATCGTGGGCTCGCTCCACGGGGCATTATTGATATCGCCGTGTCGACGTCATCAGTCTCCTGCTAAACAAGTCAAATGTTGCTTGTTATAACTTTAAATTTCCGTTGCGTGGTTACAGTACTCTAAAATGCTGTTTACAGTTTATATTAAAGCATTCAGACGTCAAGTTTTTATGAGTTGTTTTGACTATAACACGGCGTCGACAGTATCTTAATGTCCACCCACTTTTCCGTTAATTGCATTACGTTCTTAGAAAAAAAAGTAATAAAGAAATTCAGATTGGCTATCAGTAGTTGATGCGCATTCGACGCGACCTTGTTATATCTCTTGAATATGTAGAGCTCATTGTTACTGAACTACGTTAATCGAAGAACCGCATCGAACGGACTAGTTTTTTAAGCTTGTTTTTCTGCCAGTCCTCAAGCTAGTTTCCAGTATTAGATACATTTTTTACTAGAAAAACAACATCTCAAAGTGTTACACTACAGTTACCTTCTTCGCTCGTGATCGCCTTTGAGCTAAATCGGCTCCCATAGTAACAAACGAGAACGACTGACGAAAACTCGAGGTCGGTCCTAAATAACACAGAAGGTTATGATAATATCTAGAATGTATCTTTCCGTCTGTTAGCCATTGGCTTTGGAGCGACATATGTTTACAATTACCGGTGGCCCTACACCGTAACATCAAAGCCATCCATGTAGTGACATGCAGCAGCAAGGCACAGTAAAGATTTAATGTTTATAGGCCGTAGACTGGTGACGTTGATACCACGTGGATCGTTGCAGATCATTATCTAATGTTTGCCTTGAAAACTATAAATAGAGACCGCTAAAAGGAAGCGCTGAAGAATGTCAGATGTTATAGTTGTTAGGTACCTATGATAATTTCCTGGGTAAACAGTTATCTTAACATTGTCCATCTTACAATTTAATCTTTACAAGCTTACGACGGATATTCGCATCATCGTTCCTCGGCACATCAATTAAGCTAAATACTGTTGCTTATGTAGTTCTAATATGTGCCAATTTGCAACAAAAATATTCTGATGTGCTGATGACTGTACCCTTAGCGAGACGGGTTTCGATTTGGTTACGATGCGGCGAACGTGGCCAAGAATGTCTGATACTGATAAAAAAAAAAAGAATCTGTAAATCAACAGTAACTTTTGACAGATTTGTAAGACTTTCTGAGCTCCTTTATAAGAGACTAGCTTTCCGCCCGCGGCTTCGCCCGCGTGGAATTTTGTCTGTCACAGAAAAACTTTATCGCGCGCGTCCCTGTTTCAAAAACCGGGATAAAAACTATCCTATGTTCTTTCCCGGGACTCAAACTATCTCTATGCCAAATTTCATCAAAATCGGTTGCGAGGTTTAAGCGGGAAAGCGTAACAGACAGACAGACAGACAGACAGACAGACAGAGTTACTTTCGCATTTATAATATTAGTTGGGATGGGATAGAATCGGATTTTTATTACTGTTGTATTTAATAACATGGATGGCGACTTACGCTATGTAAGATAGGTATTGTGTTAATTACGTTGTGTTTACGATTTAACAATAAAACAGATAATAATTTCTATGAGTTCTCTGCAAAATAATGTTCTTACCTAGACCTCCAGGAATCGCAATATTAACTGCGCACCTAATTATAATTTCTGCAGTAAAGATAAACTCATTATTAAGTGCCCATTATTAATAAAATTCTGCGTACTTATTTTATTGTTCCAATGTGCAACTTGATATCTATGTTGTTAATAAAAACTATATTTTCTCCTTTTTCCAGAGACTTCTTGTTAGATGAGGCAAATGGTCTGTTACCAGAGGACAAACTGACGATATTTTGTGAAGTGTCAGTAGTCGCAGATAGCATAAACATAAGTGGACAGAGCAATGTGATGCAGTTCAAAGTGCCAGAATGCAGACTCTCGGATGATTTGGGCGCGCTGTTCGACAACGAAAGGTTCTCTGACGTCACGTTAGCGGTCGGGGGCAGGGAGTTCCAGGCGCATAAAGCTATATTAGCAGGTAAATATAAACTGTTGTTACAGACGACAAACTGAGCTAAACAATACGGCATCTTATGTAGGTAGTTGTTATGGGGGCTGTTATTACACCAAAATATGTCTGATGTGAACTGTACAATGTCTGCCCCCAGCCAAAATGCCAAATGTGACAGTTTTTATGTCGAAAGATGGTATAGTTCCAAAATACTGAACTGTCCTATCCATGACATTGACAGTGGGGAGCCACCGTCAATACCGGATCGCTTTTTGCCATGTTGGAGACCATATAGTTGAACGATGGTAGCGCTCCCCTGTCATTGAGTTTGGTGGGACAGTTCAGCGTGGGTCATCTATAGAAAAGTTTTATTTATGTATGGAGTTTCAACGGATTCGATTTTCGATTCAATCAAAAAGTGCCACTTGCCTAGACCCATAGGTACATTTCCAATACCAAGAGTTTAATAAAACCCTGTTACTGCTCGATATAAAGAAAGAAAGAAAGAATTTGGGCTGATATTAAACCTTTTAAAAGAAATCGTTTTCCTACGTTTGCTTCGAAGGAAGGAGGATTACAATATTACTTCCAGATAATTTCATTAACATCTCTACTTTCTGGCTCATAGTTAATAAAACTTGTTTAATAGTAACTAAACAGATTTAATGTGATGTAGGCTATGCAAATGACTATAAATTAACCATAGATCATTATAAAAGTATCACAAGCGTAGTCCTTGTTACGTCGCAAACATTAATTGAAGCATTGGGAGCAACAAGGGCGTTCGGTACCGAAAGTCCGTTTTGATGTTATTATATCAAAACATGCACTGTACCATCTGGTTTAACATCCCAAAAACTGGTTTCGATCAGACGCTCCCTGATGGCGTGAGAATAATTTATGTCACAAGTGGCGCTACGCCCTTGTTGCACACAGTAACAAAAGTGCACTTAAAATTCGACCTGTATGCAGTTTTTAAAAACTTATTAAAGTAAAAAATGACTGAAGACTAATTTTGAGTCTTCCAGTGACTTGGCCCCCTTTTAGATTGGTCCACGGATCAAGTCGCCAGACTGAATTTTCAATTATTTATTCCTCCGGCAAATGGACTCACTCTAAGATTTTAGAGTAGATTTGTGTTGATTTGGTGTTTAATTTATTAACGAAAATATTGAAGGTTCACCTTTTTAGCTCTGGAAACTGCGACAACCAGTTTAAAAAAGAAGAAAATATTTAAAAACTCAATCCGGCGACTTGGTCCGTGGACCTAGCTAAAAGTGAGCCAAATGAGTGGTTGAAACTGGTCCTGACCTTCCATGCAGGCCTGGAGGATCAGGCTGGACCTTCCAGGCCAGTTGCAGCTGATTCTAAAGATTCCCTTCAGTCTAGTGAATATTTTGATAAATCTGATTAAAACACGAAAGTCGGAAAAAATATTAAGAAAGTTTAATATTTTAACGGTGATTGTAATAAATACACATGTTTGACTTACATTTTAATTAAAATTAATAAAATAAGTATTCAAATTGTTATTTATTTTCCATAAAAAATAATAATTTAACTAACGCCCTATCTGTTTACCAGTTTGGTGCAACAAGGGCGGATAACACAAGTAAAAAAAATCGCATATTAAGATGTTTCCGATTGATTTAAAATAGTTATAATACCTTAATCTTATTGCTAAATCATGGGACTAACAAATAGTAAAGTAAGTGTAAGTCAAATTATAAACATTAAAAAAATATAAGACATTGAAACTTTCATCGTCAATTTTCTCGAAACTCAATTTTACGAGATACGCCCTTGTTGCACCCAATGCTTCAATTTATTATTGTAAAACCTTGTTTTAATGAACAAATGAAATTAATTATATCTGACACTATTCCATATTTAGATAACCTTAATTTACGTACAATGTAACTGAGGAAATTCCGATCCATGTTTTGTTTTCCTCATTAAATATTGGCCAGATTAAAAAGTCCCGAGTGTGAATAATATCAAAATACTGTTTAAAAAGTGTAGATAATTATTTAGTAATCTGTCATGAAACCAGGATAAAATATAATAAGAACTAAGGGTTTCCCCACATTTTCGTACGAAATGTTGTACGTCACGAAGCAATGCGAAAATTTGCTCTATATCATGCGTTTCATAAAGGTCTAAACTGCAAGAGCTAATTTACTAAAGGCAAATAGAGGATTTAGTTTTTCCCACGTTGGCCAGACGGCATGGGAAGGCCTGATGTTCAGAGATTTGTCCCTTTCTTCTTTTACAAGAACACAAGAAGTGTGAGGGTGTACTCACATTCTACTCTACTGGAACCACTCTTATCAACAAGGCACCGGGACTACTCAACCTTCACTGATTGGGTTTCATTTGTGGCCAAGCTTAGGTCTTGGCTATACAGGAGTTGCAGTTAGATTAGTCCCGTACTAGAATCACATCTTTACTCTTTACTAATATTATAAATGCGAAAGTAACTCTTATACGTCTGTCTCGCTTTCACGCCTAAACCACTGAACCGATTTTTATGAAATTTGGCACAGAGATAGTTTTTATCCCGGTTTTTTAAACAACAACGAGCGCGATAAAGTTTTTCTGTGACAGACAAAATTCCACGCGGGCGGAAAGCTAGTCCGATAATATTTATTTATTTTATTCATAACGTAACTCAATTCTTTTTTATTTTCTTCCAGCGCGGAGCCCCGTCTTTGCAGCGATGTTTGAACACGAAATGGAAGAAAGAAAAAGAAATCGTGTGGACATCACAGACGTAGACCACGAAGTGTTAAGAGAAATGCTTCGGTTCATATACACGGGGCGCGCGCCCAATCTTGACAAAATGGCAGACGACCTACTGGCCGCCGCTGATAAGGTAAATAAATAAGTTATTACATTAAACAAGGGCGTCCATACACAAGGTGGACCGACGACCTCATAAAGGTATCAGTAAGGCGCTGGAAGCAGGCCACCACCAACCGATCATTGGGAGAGGTCTATGTTCAGCAGTGGATGTCCTAATGGCTGATATGATGATGATAAAACAAGGGCACATGCAACATGCAATTATTATACAAAATACGTAAGTAATACAATAGGCTTGTATCCATAGTGAATAAATCTGCAGTATAAAATTTTATAACTATTAAGATAGTCGTATAATTAATGAAAAACGAAACTACATAAAATAATAATTAAAGATTATTTATATTTTTAGCAAATAAATTCGGAAAAAATGGCCCATAAGTCACGTGACAGCAAACACCAATCAGAAAGCGTTACGTCATTTTTTCTATCTTTTTAAATATAGTTTTTTACGGCTCTGGGTGCGAGCCCTTTTAGGCCAGATTGTCATTGCCAACATTTGAGTGTTGCTAGAAGGTTATTTTTGTAACCGTTTAGGTGATTTTTCGAAATTTGTAGATATTTTTTCTTTATAGGGCTCAACAAATAATTTTACATAATGTCTCGAGTTTTGGCAAATAATGTTAGATATAGGTACTGTACAGTAGAACTAAGTGATATAAATAGTATAATAATACTATAGTTTCCCATTTATGAATAAGATGAGAGAGTACATTTTAAAAATAGGTTACATTTTTTTACATTTCTGGTAATTTCTGACAAGACCCGACTGGCAACACTTTTCTTCATGTGAAGTCTTGACCCAGAGCCGTGAATTTCTATAAAAAAAAAAAGTAAAAAAGTGAAGTTTGTTGGTAAATATGTCATGAATAGTTCCTAACCTCATTTTGTTGTTATCACTATTCTTAAACAAAGTTCAACAATTTCATTATAATATGTAGGTACATGATATCAGATTATGTTGTGTGAAATATCTAACTTACATTGAAATGATCTTCACAAAAATACATCCTTGATTTTGTTGATAAACAATGGACATCATATTTTACGTATCTGCTGATTGTTTGGTACGTATACCTATAAATAACTTATTTGGCGTTTTTATTCTTGTGCATGTACATTGGGGCACTATACAGGACTTGAAATACGATGGATCCATTTGTAATTAATTTAACTTTACAATTTCCGTACTAAAACAGCTGTGTTTTGCAAGGCGTGACGTCATTCAAGACGCCATGACGGTCGTGAGCGTTTTTGAGGGCTATATGTCAAATATTATTGAAAATGCAAAATAATCCTTGGAGATGAGATTTTTTTCCAAAATAAGAGCGCATTTGTATAAAATAGGCATCAAGGTATATTATTAACTAATTATTGAAATTTGGGCGAAAAGCCTATTTTTGACAACTTTGAACAAGGTCGTAAAAAATAGATTTGAATTTAAAAAAAAATATGCATATGTGTAAGTAAGTCAGAACATCTGTTATAATGTCATGAAGTTAATAGAGTTGCTACTATCTTCTCTTTATTCTAGTATTAGACTAAAAGATTTCCGCTGAAGACTTCCCTAACTCTTTATTCTGAAATAAAAAGTGAATAGTACAAACAGAAATACCGTTTAGTGCAATTAAAATTCTAGTTGAGATGTAGACATAGTTTTTCTAAAACAACGGAAAGCATAAAAAACGTTACCGATACCTTCGCACTTCCCACCTTGTATTAATATTAATGTAGCAAATTGCAATAAATCTACATATTATTTGAGAAGAATCTGGGGCAAGGTGTTGTTGTACATGTTTTATTGGTCTGTTATGCAACAGCTGATAACTATAAACATTGTTATCGTTACGTAAACAGATATCATTTTTATACAAAGCAATGACATAATGGAATAATGACAAAAATAATTCGAATTACGTTGTTGTTTAATCAAAAATATTCTTATATCTATCTAAGAGACACAAACATTTTATGTGGCTTACTGAAATGTTAAAATATTATTTGTTTTACCGATTTTTTATTGTACTCGGTAATTTTACGTCAAAGTGGCGTCTCAAAACGACGGCTAAGGAAGTACAAAGATCACTTTTAGAGGTTCACAAACACCAGTAAATAATCCAATACATAATAACAAGTCAAATAGTCCTTGAATTTGTCAAACCACTAGATTGAAGAATTTTGCTAGATACATCACAACGGTGGGATTTCGATCAAATACTGGCCTTGTTATGCATTAAAAAACCACATAATACATTTGGATTAGTTCTGTAGTTTTTTATGTAACCTACAATATCCAGCCGGGCTAGGATGGACGCCGCGATAAAATGTTAACGATACTTTTGAAAATTAAACGACAAATGTATGGGCTTATCGTCTAAAATCGATAGAGTGCCTCGATAAGATTATATCGGGGCGCGCATCCCAAACCTACAGATATTTATTTAGTTTATAATGATCCAAGTATTGACCATCTTCTTTTTTTTATTTCAGTACGCTTTGGACAGGCTAAAAGTGATGTGCGAAGAGGCGTTATGCCTTAGCCTGTCCGTGGAGACGGCGGCCGACACACTCATTCTGGCCGACCTGCATTCCGCCGACCAGCTCAAAGCGCAGACCATCGATTTCATAAACACGTGAGTAATTACTCATTATTTAATGTCTGTAAATGTAGTCTCCATCTGAAAACAACTAATTATAAGTTTGGGAATCCCATAAATAGGCAGATATGTACTATCCTAGACTGCATCTCACTTAACACCAGGTGCGATTGCGGTGAAATACCTGCCTTGTTATGCATTAAAAAATGTAGTATGCTATTCCAAAACTAACTCTGGAACATGTCCAGAGCTAAAAAATGTGGGTATTTGCAATATTTATAAACTTTTTAATCTCTGGTTTATTACAAATACAATGTGAAATAGTAGTTCGTTTTCAATGTAATTGGCCCAGCTTTAACTAAATAACTGCCTGAACTGCAGACTCTGTTCTACTAAAGAATATTCTGCATTTTAGCTATTATAGCTAAGATAACATTTAATGCATTATGAATGCGTCGCATTTATGCTTATTATCTTCTTTTATGTATAAAATAAGATTGTGCGATAAGATTTGTCCATTGGGATCTTTCTCAAACACGTGCCAAGGATTAGTTGAATATTTGAATTTATTATTATACGAGATCTATTTAAATATTATGATAGCCCCAACAGTCAAACTAGAACAGACACAGATTCAAAGTGTGCGTAAGCGGACGTTTTAAACGCACTTGTTTGATTTTCTAGTGCCATATTAAAACATAAACAGTACCACTTACATTACAAAGTAAATGTTATCTCTACTGATTAGGGCATAGCGATTACTAATGCTTAACTTATTTAGATAACCGTGTCGAGTAACGAGGCGTGATGTTAGGAAAATATGGCCTGCTGACTTTATTCATAAACGGAATTTTAAGTGTTTGTTTAGTTCGATTTTATTAACCTAGAACTACAAATAATGATAGAGACATTAAACATTTGTATCGCAAGTAAATGAGAGTAACGATGACAGATTTGAGGGTAAACTAGATTTTAAATTAAAATGGCTGTATCCGGGTCACGAAGATGGTTATTGTATAACTATCGATAGATACTAACTATAGATAGATGAAAATAGTTGCCAACCGTAATTAATGATATACACCGACTGATAAGTCGGTGTATATCATTAATTACGGTTGGCAACTATTTTCAAAAAGGAACGTTAACGTATTTTAGATATTCAATGTTCACAAGACTATCAAAACCTACACTTCACACTGGGGACTGTTAGTTTGTGCCTAATCCAAATACAATCATCATTTAAGTAAATAGAATTCCGTCCTTAATGGCATTCGGGAATATGGTCGATCTTAATTATATTAAAAAAAAAAATAGTGACTCTATGGGTCATTAGGAAGCTTCGTTCCGTGAAAGAAGACATACGAAACATATAAATGCTAACTGCTACCGTCACGTATAGGGGCCCATAATCATAATTCAAATTCAAAATTTATTTATTGGAAACAAGAAAATTTGTACATGAAAAAGCGTGTACGATAATAGCCGCAATAGTTTCAGAGAACTGTGGCCGTCTTTAAACTACTAGCCCTGGGCCCATAAGGATCAAGGGATGCCCTTCTCATCTGGAGAAAGATCTTTTATAAGAACAGACGGGGGTCTTCTCGATCGCAGAGAGTCCACGTGCCCAGAATGCCCAGTGGGAAAGAGGGGTCTGCTCATAAGGTCTAAAATTAACATTAACTAGCGGCCGCCCGCGACTTCGTACGCGTGGATCCCGTTTTACCCCCTTCATCTATCTTACGCGGTTTAGATTTTTTCATACAAATGTTTTTTCCCGCTAACTCCCGTTCCCGTGGGAATTTTGCAATATCCTGTTGTAACTAAGCTTTAAGTTTACTAAGGTACCTGCATGCCAAATTTCAAGCGTCTAACTTAAGCGGTTTAGATTTTTCATACAAAAGGATTTTCCCGCTAATTCCCGTTCCCATGGGAATTCCTAAGTATACTATAACCTGCCCAGGAGTATGAAGAATAATTGTACCAAGTTTCGTTAAAATCCGTCGAGTAGTTTTTGTTTCTATAACCTCGTAAGCCCGGATGTGCCTCAGAAGGAACTAAAACTTTGTAGTCAGTAACGCCGAGACATTTTCGGAGGTGAATTCTAAGTATCGCCGGATGTGCCTTCAGAGGAACTAAAACTTTAGCGATAATTTTAAGTTCAAAAATTCGCGCCTATCGAACAAAAAGAGTGATAGTCTTTGGCTTAAAGTATTCAAAATCAGGTATCCGAACTTATTAATGTAAAAAAAACAAAATGTCACTGTCAAATTATCATTTTTCTTTGACAAGGTGGTTCTTCCGAGAGGACGTGATGTACGATCAATTTTTTTTCTTCACGAAAGTGTTGTTTAATTGAAAAACTAACCAGTATAATTTAAGTTTAAATACTGCTAAACAAGCAAAAAAAATATTTTTACCAATTCGAAGAAGTTATGTAAGATTTTTTTTTCGTTTGAAAATAATAGTTCTTTGCATTCGGTCTTGATGGTGAAAGTTTTATTTTTGTACATTTTTTTCTATTGAGATGGATTGAGTATTGGACTTTTAAAATTATTATATGATTGAGAAAAATTACCATGAGAACGTTCTGACTTTTAGTTTAATAAATATTATAATTAACATGAATATTCACTTTACTTCCTATACATTCTAACCTATCATTATTGTATGTTATAAAACCGATAGTACTTTTAAAAGTACTAATTATGAAACATTAAATAAAATTAAAACACTTGTACCTTTTCACTTACATTTTTTATATCATTATTGTATCTTTATGTAGTATTCATTTATTAAAAAGTTTACATTTATGTTTTACTTTAAAGTATAAAACACAATTTATTTACTTTTCCTTTTTAAAGTCTGTAATACCGAATGTTCTTTTAAGAGAAAACATTTTTTTATTATTTTTCTCCTAAAATAAGCTCTATGCACTATTAAATAGGGCCCCTGAAAATATGAATGCAAAAGAAAATCTCTAACATAGAAATTTTTTTACTCGAAGTGCTCGGCGTTTACTACTACAAATTATTCGTTCTTCTGAAAGCACATTCGGCGATACTTAGAAGTCGACAAAATTTACTCTTCGGTCTTACGAGGATAAGGAACATACAGACAGACAGACAGACAAAAATTTTACTGATTGCATTTTTGGCATCAGTATCGATCACTAATCACCCCCTGATAGTTATTTTGAAAATATATTTCATGTACAGAATTGACCTCTCTACAGATTTATTATAAGTATAGATTAATAAAATTCCTTTTTTTTTCTTCCAGGAGTCACGCAACGGACGTGATGGACACAGCCGGGTGGAAGAACATGATATCGTCGCACCCGCACCTCATCGCCGAGGCCTTCCGAGCGCTCGCCACGCAGCAGCAGCAGATACCGCCTATCGGGCCGCCGCGCAAGCGCGTCAAGCAGGCCTAGTGCGCGCCACCCACGCCCGCGCGCGCCGAGACCTCGGCCTCTCGCGCCCACCGCGCCGAATAGCGCCGAGCGCGCCCGAGCGAGGCCTAGCGTTGGTCCTTGCCAGAGTACCGAACATAAATCTATACAGTACCGTAACGTTTTTTGAAATTGGAACGCACGGCTAGGGTTGGGCGTGGGCGGGCGAGTTCACGTCAAACGCATTCGATGTCGACTGCATGATTGCGATGATTGTACAACGCCCCTAGCGGAAACTTTCAACAACTGAAATCTTCATATAAGTATTTATAACGCGCTCGCTGGTGATGACGTTTGATGTAAACTCACACTAAACTCTCTGTAGGTCAAAACGTCATGTTAAAATACTTGGCTGTATGGAGTATGCCTATGCCTTTTCCTGCAAAAAAGTTGCAATTTCCGAAGCGTGACACTTCATTGATTATGACTGTGCATGCAAATTCGGGCACTAGCACATGCAACTACATAGTTGCGAGTACTGTATGATTCATGTAAAGCCTGGTCCGTGAGCACGTAGAATTTTGTCTAATGACCCCAAGCTACCCATCCTTATCGCTCGCGCGTAATTATGTTGCTGTCGCGCTCGCACACTCACTGCGGGCGCCCGTCGCACAGTCGCGACAGCAATATAATTACGCGCGAGCGATAAGGATGGGTAGCTTGGGGTCATTGGACGGGATTCTACGTGCTCACGGACCAGGCTTTAGAGGTACTGGATTGGGCGAGCCGGCGCAAGAGAGCCCCGGTTGGGCTCGGGACGCGGGCGGCGCTCGGAAGCGCTCGCGGCCGCTGCGCGAACTCGCGAGCCCGCGGGCCCGGCGCTCCGGCCCACGGGCCCGGCGATCCGGCCCACGGGCCCAGCGCTCCGGCCCGCGGGACCCTCCTTGTTTACTATGATTGATCTCAAGACGATATTCGATCCTAATGTTTTTTTCTCTCGCGGTCGATTAGTGAACCGCTTTTAATGGTTAAAGTAATGTATGACGATGCTGGACGCTTTTTGCGCGTTGATGTAGTTACGGAAGTAGGCTTGGATTTTAATATTTTATGTAATGTCGTCTCCGTGGACGTTCCCTCGGTTATGTTCAATGTACATTTTACTGTGTATCGAATACGAAGCTCGCGTGTGAAAGGTTATCCGTGTCATGAATTGAATCACTTGTAACGTTCGTTGGCTAACATGATCATATTATCATATGAGGTGAATTCCGAAAGGGAACTGTAGGTTATTGGAGTCATTTAAATTAAAATCATTATACCCCTGTCCTAATGCAGTTTTGTATTATGATATTACTCTCGGTGTTTATATTGTTTCCATAGAAATTGATCAGATACATTTTATGAAAGATTTCTTGTTAGGAGTTTAAAAGTAGCACTTTTGAACATTTTGAAGTAGTGTGGTAATTGAATGCAATAAAACTGTAAAGTATGTATCATAGTTTTGTACAAAATTTACAGACAAAGTGAGTACAGGTATCCATAGATGCCACAAATCCTCAAGCCTGATTGTATTGATTGAGTGCATTCTGTACAAAACTGTGTTACATTTAGAAGAAGTAGGTGACTCGAGTGATTGTAATAAGTCTATTGAACTTGTCGGTATTGTATATAGATGAGCTACGATCCCACCATAAAATATTTCTAAGTACTAACTTGTAAGTGGTATCACAACTGACACCATTCGATGTTTATTGTATCTGTAGGTTTTAATTCCAATGGCATATTGTGATTTTCTTTTAAATTTCCATAGTTCTAAAAACACATGCTTTTGTTTTGTTATCGTATGTAGATCACCATAATAATTTAATAAAATTGAAGTGTATTGTTGTCGTTGATTTCGCTTAATCAAATTGTACATTGCGTGTCAAGTAAGTCAACTTTCTACCTTTCATTTATGCTCACTTTCGAAGAACCTCGGTCATTTATTTCGAAATCTTAAATTTTATTTTTGAACTCTATTCTACTTTTAGGTATTACTTTTATGTATTTTACTTTAAATTTTCATTGAAATATTATTATATACGCTTCTCTATATCACTGAAATATACCTAATGAATGATGTAATATCCATTTGTAGGTATTTTATGAATACCCAATGTTAATTAATTAATATACTGTGGCCAATAAATAATATTTAATACCATTTTGTACCCATTTCCCATTTACATAGAGGACAGCTGTTTTGGTGTATTATAGTTACAAAACAATTGTCAAAAATAACTGTGATTTTCGAAATTGTCAGTAAGTTGAGCAAATAAATGAAATGATGTATTATAAGTTTTTTTTTCTATTATCCCAAATGCAGTAAGTATGTAAGATTTCAGGATTACTCAATGCAAGTCGCACGCTTAGTTTTCCATTTTCTTTAACATCGGGGAATTTCTAGAGTAGAGGTAGAGGGCTACATATTATTATAGTTTTCTAGGAGTCCACACCGCCGTTATGTATGACGTCACCATTATATTACGTGCTCCATAACATAGTGTGAAGGCAATTTTTTTAACTGGTCGTACATCCTGTATAACAGTCTAATAAATACCTAACCTATTTATTAATCTTTTTTGGTCTCAACAAAGCCGTGACCACCAAAGAATATATTATGTGACCACTAGTAACGAGTGGGAAAATGACCCGTATTATGCAACCATACTGAGTGACCGTTATGAAACCGTTACATCGCTTTTTTAGAAGCTTTTATATAGGTATTTAAAACTAGCTTTTGCCCGCGGCTTCACCCGCGTGAAATTTAGTTTATCACAGATCGTCATAAATTATAGCCTATATGTTATTCTGGGTTATAAACAATAATACTGTAGTTTCATCAAAATCCGTTCAGTAGTAGTTTTTGCAAGAGTAACAAACATCTAGACATCCAAACTTTCGCATTTATAATTATCCGGATATTAGTAGGTTATCACTAAAGAGTGATTATATTATAGCCTGACCAGGAACATAAAAACCCTCGCCATGTTGCGGAAAATTAATGGTACTAATTTCTTTTAATGGCAACAGTAACTGAAAACTTCATTGACATGTCCCTATGTATTACTTTTCTCTATGGACATGTCACCTTACATGTCAGTCTATTGTTGTCAAAGTGTAAACAAACTTTATATTAAATGTGCGCAATTGATTTTGTGAATTAAATTGCTAAAATATTTTTATAGTCGTGAAAGAAAAGTGGTTCACAATGTGTTAAAGTATTTGTCGAAGAGAAATACTAAGGGTTCGGACAATATTTTCATTGAATAATGTTTCCGACAAAGGTTGTCAAATTGACTGACATGTTTATCGTATAGTACAGTCAACTATGAAAATTAGCTGTGGTTTGTTTTAACTACCTATTTTAAAGTTTTTTGTCACTTTGTAAGTGTTGAATTTTATGGAATTGGGAAAGAAGTACCGAGTTTGAAGCGTTCATGAGCAGACATTGACACTTTTGGGAGTTTACAGATCACTTGATATGACAAAAGAATATAATGCTTTAAAAGGTGGTATGTAAATTTTAAGGATTAAAGAATAAAGATAAAAAAGGCACAAAGGTTTTAAACTTTGTGCCTTTTTCTATTTTGTCATTTTTGTCATTTCTTCAATAATAGATTTTTTTCCAACCGTTCTTGTGATAATATCTTTCTCTAAACTCCAGCCTCGTGCAGGCGAGTATTCGCGTCCATACCAAATAATCTGCAGGTGTAAATCATTCCATATTTCTTTAGGAAACAATCGTTTAGCATCTTTTTCGGTTTGAGTGACATTTTTTCCATTCGAAAGATTCCACCTGTACATCAATCTATGTATATGTGTATCTACAGGAAAAGCGGGAACTCCAAACGCCTGAGACATTACAACACTTGCTGTTTTATGACCAACAGCCGGTAATTCTTCTAATGCTTCAAAACTTTGCGGCACTTCGCCATTGTGTTTTTCAATTAAAATTTCAGACAAACCATGAATTCCTTTAGATTTCATTGGAGATAAACCGCATGGTCGAATAATTTCTTTAATTTCTTCTACAGACATTTTCACCATATCATATGGATTGTCAGCTTTTGCAAACAAAAGAGGAGTAATTTGATTAACGCGAACATCAGTACATTGCGCCGAAAGTAAAACAGCAATTAATAAAGTATAAGGATCTTTGTGATCAAGCGGTACAGGTATGGTAGGGTAGAGTTCTTTTAACGTATTTATAACAAATTGCACGCGGGCTTCTTTATTCATTTCTGTAAATTTAAAGTGTAAAAATAGCGATTTATAACTTATAAGTTATCTTTGTTTTAAATCTAAAATCAACAATCTGAAATCTAAAATAAAAAGATATGACAACATTAAAAGCCGGTGACAATGCACCAAATTTTTCAGGAATAGATCAAGATGGAAAATCGCATAAACTAGCAGATTATGCTGGAAAAAAATTAGTAGTTTTCTTTTATCCAAAAGCAAGTACGCCTGGTTGTACTGCTGAAGCTTGTGATCTGAGAGATAATTTTGAACGTTTTAAAGCTAATAATTATGAGCTTTTGGGTGTAAGTGCTGATAGTCAGAAAGCACAGTTGAAATTTAAAGATAAATATGAATTCCCTTTTCCATTATTAGCAGATGAAGACAAATCAGTAATCAATGCATTTGGAGTTTGGGGACCAAAAAAGTTCATGGGAAGAGAATATGACGGAATTCACAGAACAACCTTCGTAATTAATGAAAAAGGAACTCTGTAGTCAGGAATGGACGAGCTGTGATAATGAGAAATTGAATGTTTACAGATGGACAAACCCTGGACTAAGCGCACGAGGCCGTGCGATAGTCAGGCTGGCCGTGTCGGCGCCGGACACAGATGCTGCAAATGATTATTGATGATTAATAGTACCAATCTTAATATTATGTTATCTGTATAAATCTGTAGAGCGGAAGGTTTGTGATTCCTAAACGTAACACCCGACTGATGCGCAGAAAAAGATAACTGTCATTCAGTTGTGTCATGTCAAGTGTGAGCAGGCGGCTGCGAGGTTATCTTTGAGAGCGTGTTGAGTTTGGTGGAACGTTAAATTGTAGGAAAAGTGATTGTCAACCATCCAAGATATTATCTCCTTGCCCGTTAACCCACGCCAATGGAGATTCCACCCCTAGAGTTCTTTCTGATAGAGACCCAGTGCCTTTAAATTTAATACAGGTACGACTGTACCCAGTGTTGCACTATCAAATGCAATTGACGCGCCTCTATGCCAGGGTTTTTATGTTCCTGTGGGTCTAGACAAAGTGCAAATTATAATCGCAAACCAGTCGAAAAGTGGTCGAAAAGCCCCTTTTTTGTATGGAGTTTTGACGGATTCGATTTTCGATTCGATCAAAAAGTGCGTTTTGTCTAGGGGGGCTGGTCAGGCTATAATTTGTTTCAATCTAACGACAACTTGAGTAACTACCTTGCGATGTTTTAATTCTTCTTTAATGTTTGTGTTCATTATTTGTGAGATCCCGAACAACTCGTTTAATTACTTGGAATGGGTGGTAAATCATTTTCGCTGCCAAGGGTAGATAGAAGTGTGCAAGCGAGCGAGCGGTAGTGCCGGTAGTATAGTCGATACCCACTCCCATACAAGCTTGGAGGGAGACCACCACGTCACGACATCGAAGGCAGATGCATTATATTCGTTTTAAATAGTTATAACTACACCTTTTTGAAAGAAATAACTTTATTGTAACAGTAAGTATTAAATTTAAGTTAGCAACTTATGATTGATTAGCCAATGACCCTGTTGAGTCTGGTAAACGTCTGGCAACACTAAAATTGACAGTTATCATAAACAAGACAGAAGATTGTCAAAATGACAGATCATGACAGATTTCAAAAGTTCCGGTTGCATTGCTTTGATTGAAAACTCGAATTTATTTTCTTTTCTCATTTCTTATTTGCTTCAATTTGTAAAAATATTAACTCCTAGAGACATCAAATAAATACAATAGAATTACTCGGGATACAGAAAATGGACATCGAATACGAGAGTCATTCATCAGCTGAAGAACATGATTGCCCGGGTAAACTAAATGTTTTAGATTCTGAAATCCAATTTAAATTAAAGTTTAATTTGGAATGCTTTAATAAACGATCAACCTTGCTTCACTTGAAATCAAGTACCTAACTGATCATCTTAAGAATAAACCTTTTGTTGCCTTAATACGTGTTAGGGCACTACATAAAAGCGGGTCAGATAATCCAGCGGTGATGCATGCAGCTGTATTGAATTCTATCCCGACTATTGGTCTACATTTAATATTATATTTAATTTCGATTAATTCCGACCCGTTTATGTGTTCAGCACCATTATCTCAAGGTATTTATAATCCGATTCTTTTAATAATTCCCATCAGATGAAAGTCCAGTCAATATACCAACCAGAAGAGGTGTTAGAAACAGAACAAAGCCAAAAAAGTATGGGGACTTCTTAAACCTGTCACCAACTAAAAGAAAAGTACAATCTGATTCACCAAGTTCTGATGAAGATTTTGAAGAAGGATCTACTCAGAAACCAACAGGTTAGTTTATTTATACAGAATTATACATTTTGTTGAATGGTCTAAAATACTATCCCACTTATTAGTAAATAAATAATGCCCAAGGGTTGCTAACTTGCTACTAAAGCTACTACAAAGGTATTTACTTTTTAATTTTCACACATTTTGTCTTTTTCTTTTACAGCTTTGTTTAGCAAAGACGATGTTGAGGGCCAGGACATTTTCAAATTCAAATCTAGACACACCAAACTTGACTTACAGAATAAAGTGAAAGCAGCTATTAGTAATTCACCTAAAGTGACACCACTCAGTACTCCAAGGAGGAAAATGAATGCTGGGTTACTTCATAGCCCTTTGGCAAAGGTATCAGATGCCACTCCGAAGCAAGCTAGAGATTTAATGAGAAAAAGTAAGCATTTTTTATTGATCAAATTAAAAAAATATCAGGAATTTAATTTCACTGTACTGATGTCACTATAGTTTTTAAACAGCCACCAAATCTAATCAGGATAACTTGTTTTACAGGAATTATTCGTGAAGTGGAGAGTGATAGTGAAGACAGTGATTTCTCTGGAAGCAGTAGTGATTTTGTACCTGAAGAAAGTGATAATGATGTAAGTTGTGACTGTCAAATGTAAAAAAGTTTTATAAATGGAAATTCAAATCATACCTATGTCTTTTATAACAATTTTGTGAACTTCTAAGACTACACATCCATTTATTTTCATATTACAGGACTAATTTCTAAGACTACATATTCATTTCTTTTCAAATTACAGGACTCTGATTCTAAATCACATTCAAGCAGTTCAATAGAAGATGATGAAGAGGAAGAACCAAAGAAAGCTGCAACAAAAGTACAAATTACCAAAAACAAAGATGCTAGGTCAAAAGCAAAAGATTCTGAGTACATTGTTACACCAGATAACTATTTCCTTATGAATTCTAGCAAAAAGGTAGTTAACTTGTATTATTACCATGCAAATGATATTGACATAGTTGATTTTGCTAACTATGAATAAAAATTTTCTTTTATAACTTTTTAAACACCAAGATATGAGAAGATTTACTTCAATGATGGCAAAATATAGAAAAAATCATAAGTTTAAACAAATATTTCTTTCGATTTTTCAGATTGCAACTTCAGACCACACATTGGCCAGACTGAAAAATCTAAACCTGGATGAAATGGTTGGTAAAGATATTCAAATGTCAGCGGAACATAAAAACAAAATAAAAGAACTCAACAAATCATATGAACAGCTATTTAACAGATGGCTGTATGTTTTGAGTGAAAACTTTAACATAATTTTCTATGGAATTGGATCCAAACGAGCAATTCTCCAGCAGTTTCAAATGGAAAAGCTGAAAGACTTCCCATGTATTGTTGTGAATGGATTTTTTCCAAGTCTAACAATCAAGAGTATCTTGGAAGCTATTGTAGTAGATCTTTTAGAAAATACACATGTACCTTCCAACTTAGGTGATGTTATAAGTCTAATTGATACTCAACTGAATGAGAATGATATTGAACTGTTTTTGATAGTTCACAATTTAGACGGCGTAATGCTTCGAAATGCTAAAGCTCAAGCAACTTTGTCTAGTTTATCACAAATTAAAAATATTCACACAATTGCTACCATTGATCACATCAATGCTCCTCTATGTAAGTACATAATATAAACTAAAATACCATAAGCCACAATATGTATGTTATATCATCATTCGTTCCTTTGAGCCGAAAGACGTCCACTGCTGGACAAAGGCCTCCCCCAAGGATTTCCACGAAGATCGATCCTGCGCCGCTCTCATCCAGGCACCTCTCGCGACCTTCACCAGATCGTCGGTCCACCTGGGACCTCCCCACGCTACGTCTTCCGGCTCGTGGTCGCCACTCAAGAACTTTCCTGCACCAGCGGCCATCAGCTCTACAAGCTATGTGCCCCGCCCACTGCCACTTGATTTTAGCGATTCTGCGGGCTATGTCAGTCACTCTGGTTCTCCTACGAATCGGTTATATGTTATATCATAAAAATAACTAACATTTTACTGTCTTGTTTCAGTATGGGATCATTCAAAGCTGAGTAAATTCAAATTTACTTGGTGGGATGTCACTACATTCCTGCCCTATACTGAGGAAACTTCTTTCGAGAATTCCATCATGACACAAAGGAGTGGGGCATTGCAGCTGTCGTCCCTAAGAAGTGTTTACCAGTCTCTCACCACCAATGCAAAGGGAATATTCAATATTATTATCAAATACCAGTTGGAGAATCAGAAATTAAGTCACTATCAAGGTAAGTTTTTTGATTGCTTTGATTGAATCTTTTCAAAGATGCTGTATGCTGCATTTGGAATACAGTCGCGCGAGCGTATTCCAAATGCAGCATAGAAGATAACACGCTGGTGTTTCCGTAAACCGCGAGGGGACAGCGATTATAATAGCAGCACGATACGTGCCCTGGGGCCGTTCACCAGCCCTAAGGAGAATTCAGCTGTCGAATACATAGACGCAATATGATGCTCGTGTTTTGTGCATGCGTAACCTCATGGTACTTCTGCATTTTTCCAGGTAGAGCTAAGCAGATTTAGACTAGTGTTTTTGGTACGCCTCACCCTTCCTATAAAACCCATTGGGGTCCATATTCCAAAATGTCATCTTAGTTCTATTATTACAAACTATTATACCAGATCCTCAATTTCATAACATAAAATTAGAATTTAAATTAATTTGTCTATCATTTTTGTTTCAGGTCTTCCTTTCAAAGATCTGTACTCAAAATGTCGAGAGCAATTCCTAGTGAGTTCTGACTTAGCTTTGAGAGCTCAGCTCACTGAATTTTTAGACCACAAGCTTGTGAGAATGAAAAGAAGCTGTGATGGCAGTGAAAATTTGGCTATACCAATCGAAAATACGTTATTACAACAGTTTTTGGAGCAGCAAGACAGTTGACATTGCTATTGCGAGTTGTACACCCACCGAATCTCAAGTTATTTTGAATTGAGAGGAAATAAATGTGTTTTTCTTTTACATGATTTTTTTTATTGGCGAGTCATGTAATAGGACTGATAGGATTGTGTGTAGTGTTATTTTCAATGAAACTAAATAGTTAAGTTTAGCTTTTATTTTACAATCCCAGAAATAAAGTCTTAATAGGATTATATAATATATATCAACAGGACAAGTTGTAAATTACTTAAACTTAATGACTTACATAATATAATAAAATTATTAACTAAAATTCTCTTCAACATATCTGGCACATTCACCATGATGTATCAACCAAACATTTCATTGATATTCTTAGTGCATAAATTGCTCTTTCAAGATTTAAAAAGATTGTAGAAAAATACTCTCTGAACTCATCGGACATCAAAAATTGATCTAATTATGCATTCGGTTAATGTTTATTTACTACGCCCTTTGGAATTTTATTTGAAACGCTGATCAACATTATCAGTTATCATTAGTGAGATTACGAAATGTATAAAAAAATAATTATCTTATAAACATAATATAGATGATTGTTCACATTGAACAGAAACAAATAATGCTGGAAAAGCTATCTGCTAAAATTTGCAATACAGATTGAAAAAAATAAGATATCAGGTATCTTATAAATAAATAAACACATAATACGTAGACTGTATCAATTTTAGATATGTTAAAAACAAAACAATATTTATTAGTAAAGTTAATATCAAAGTGTTGCCTAAAGCGGCATAATTTTTTCATTTATCTCACTTGTACTTTTGGAAATAAAATAATGGACTAAGTCATTAACAATTTTATATGTGAAAATTGACCTTAGTGTCCATTGTGGTGTATGTCTTTATCAGTCTAAATTGGTCATCATTAACAGGCGGAGCCCACTTCAGGATTGTTGTAATATATTCCAAGGGCATGAAATAATTTTGTTTACCCTATTTAATTTATGTTCCTTCCACTTACAGCTAACTAATATAATTCATTGAAATTGTAGGTTTAAGAATGAGAGCTATTTTAATCCTAAAATCATGCACTTCCATTCCAATGATTCATTTAAAATTAAGCATGTCAATAGAATAAAAAATGATTATTACATAAACAATTTAATTGAAACATTAACTTGTCGGACAACAAACTACAGATTCCACACAATAGACATCAACATTCAAAGATAGAAAACATTTCATTTTAAATCGTTTCTTGTCCGCAGACACGTTAACACTAGGGTGAAAGCGAGTTAACCTAGCCTCGTTCGGTGACGGAATCAATCTCACAAATGACAACTAGTCTAAGGGATGACTGCAACGTAACGCGATGTGTTGTGGCGACGGCCGCCGGTACAGGCCCAGGTTTATTGTCCGATGCATCGGAGCGCTGTACACTTACAAACTAGTAAGATAACTCCGCTTAAGGCAACACTCAATTCTCGTCGTCGTCCTCGTGTTTCCGCTTTTTACCCCGAGTGCTTTCCTCGGGCTCGCCGTCTGCATTCTCGTCACCGTCTGCAAGCCGACAACGAGTTCATTTTCTACTCATAAATGGAACAGAGATAAAGAGAGAGAAAGTAGATTTCTAAAGAATGCTGCAAAATAGTCTGTAACAAGTGGTCAGAGTTAATGAGCCAACATTGGTGTATGAGTCATGTTTAGACCTCTTTAGCTTTGGTCATAAATTCCTGGGGATCAGGATCTGTGTACCAAAGATCTGGCTTTTGAAAATGATTGGCGAGACCCCGCGAGGTGAAATCATTTCATCAGCTGCGGCGATGTGTTGGTTTTGCGTCACGTATATACTTCTAAAAGGTCTTGATGCTTGCGATTGTGGCTATTAAAAGCGATCATTTCACGATTTGTAACGTATGTGTTATGCTCAAAGACCGAAAACGCTCATTGTACCAAAATATACACAACGCGTTGTGGTCACAGTAAAACATCGACATCGCAAAATTCGTGTTATGGCTATGAAAACGATGCGTGCGCGGTGCGTTGTGGTAATCACAGAAAGACCACAATGACATAGCGAAATTCATGTCTAAAACCATCTTCTACTAGTGAACTTTCGCAAATCATCATTTCAATAAGTCCTCGCTTGCTGAGTCGCGGCACAAAATAGTCGCGGTGTTGATGTAATAACTCGATACTTATTGTTCGTTGTTAGTGGACTACAGTTAAGTAGTGCAGTGCCGTACCTAGGACAGTTGAGCGGTGCCCAGGCACAGAGAATACAGATCAGCTAGCTAGAGATTAGACATTAGCTTAGATAGCTAGTATGGAAGCTTGCACCAGTCGTATAAAAGGCGAGTAACAGCTCTGGTGGACTATACACATAAGGTCGCTGACTGACCAAACTCAACTATTTTAGGCGCTATTGTTAGTACTTAGTGGACTGTGGACTATAACCAAAAGGTCACTGACGTTGCGCCTTGCTGTTGTGCTCGTTCTCGGCGTCGTTCTCGCCGTCATCTACACTCGACAGCAAATAAATCGCACCACCCGCGACAAGCACTTTCAAACGTATGCATCCCCACTTCACACCAATATTGGTACCATTCAAAAGCCTAGTTCTAAACTTCATTTCATTATAGGAAAGGTTTTTACCCCAAAAATGTTTCTTTAGAAGGATCCAGTCACTTCTTCAAAAAATAGATAGTTACACTTGAGCCAACTATTATGGCTATAAAACTGTTAAGTTGGGATTAATCGCTATCCATCTGTTAAACAGGACACGTGTGATCATTATTTGGTTTTATAACCATAAAATTTGGTCTAATTGATCCCAGAGGTGAGCCCAAAGTGAGGTCTTTTTTCAAGTCACATTTATGGTATATGTTAATCATTTATTAAGAAATTAAATGTGTTTTTCTTTAAGGATATTTATTGGGCTTTCAAATAACACCAATATTGTTGGGGCACCATTATTGTGTCAAAAGAAAATCTTTAAAGTTCGCGTCGCGGGTGGTGCGATTTATTTGCTGTCGAGTGTATGTCGTCCTCGTCCGACACGTCACTGCCGTCAACCATCGGCCACCTAATGTAAAGCAGCAATATGCATTATAGTCCAAGGGCCACTGACCTTGCGCCTTGCTGTTGTGCTCGTTCTCTCCCTCGTCCTCCTCGTCGTCGACGTCGTCCTCGTCGCTGCCGTCAACCATCGGTCAAGTCGCTGCCGTCAACCGTCGACCACCTAATGTAAAGCAGCAATATGCATTATAGTCCAAGGGCCACTGACCTTGCGCCTTGCTGTTGTGCTCGTTCTCGGCGTCGTTCTCGCCGTAATCTATGTCGTCCTCGTCCGACAAGTCGCTGCCGTCAACCATCGGCCACCTAATTTAAAGCAGCAATACGCATTATAGTCCAAGGGCCACTGACCTTGCGCCTTGCTGTTGTGCTCGTTCTCGGCGTCGTTCTCGCCGTAATCTATGTCGTCCTCGTCCGACAAGTCGCTGCCGTCAACCGTCGACCACCTAATGTAAAGCAGCAATATGCATAATAGTCCAAGGATCACTGACGTTGCGCCTTGCTGTTGTGCTCGTTCTCGGCGTCGTCCTCCTCGTCGGATACGCGCTGACGTCAAACATCATGCGCCTTGCTGTTGCGCCTATTGCGACCGTCGAACATTAAACGCGGTAGCGTCCTGCTATGTGAAGACATCCGAAGCAAATGACCTAATAGACCAATCAAAGGGTCACTGACCTTGCGCCTTGCTGTGTTGTGCTCGTTCTCGCCCTCGTCGGACACGTCGCTGCCGTCAACCATCGGTCAAGTCGCTGCCGTCAACCGTCGGTCAAGTCGCTGCCGTCAACCGTCGACCACCTAATGTGAAGCAGCAATATGCATTATAGTCCAAGGGCCACTGACCTTGCGCCTTGCTGTTGTGCTCGTTCTCGGCGTCGTTCTCGCCCTCGTCCTCCTCGTCGGATACGCGCTGACGTCAACCATCATGCGCCTTGCTGTTGCGCCTATTGCGACCGTCGAACATTAAACGCGGTAGCGCCCTGTTATGTGAAGACATCCGAAGCAAATGACCTAATAGACCAGTCAAAGGGTCACTGACCTTGTGCCTTGCTGTTGTGCTCGTTCTCGGCGTCGTTCTCGCCCTCGTCCTCCTCGTCGTCGACGTCGTCCTCGTCGGACACGTCGCTGCCGTCAACCATCGGTCAAGTCGCTGCCGTCAACCATCGGTCAAGTCGCTGCCGTCAACCGTCGACCACCTAATGTAAAGCAGCAATATGCATTATAGTCCAAGGGCCACTGACCTTGCGCCTTGCTGTTGTGCTCGTTCTCGGCCTCGTCCTCCTCGTCGGATACGCGCTGACGTCAACCATCATGCGCCTTGCTGTTGCGCCTATTGCGACCGTCGAACATTAAACGCGGTAGCGTCCTGCTATGTGAAGACATCCGAAGCAAATGACCTAATAGACCAGTCAAAGGGTCACTGACCTTGCGCCTTGCTGTTGTGCTCGTTCTCGGCGTCGTTCTCGCCCTCGTCCTCCTCGTCGTCGACGTCGTCCTCGTCGGACACGTCGCTGCCGTCAACCATCGGTCAAGTCGCTGCCGTCAACCATCGGTCAAGTCGCTGCCGTCAACCATCGGTCAAGTCGCTGCCGTCAACCATCGGTCAAGTCGCTGCCGTCAACCATCGGTCAAGTCGCTGCCGTCAACCATCGGTCAAGTCGCTGCCGTCAACCATCGGTCAAGTCGCTGCCGTCAACCGTCGACCACCTAAGTCCTAATGTAAAGCAGCAATATGCATAATAGTCCAAGGATCACTGACCTTGCGCCTTGCTGTTGTGCTCGTTCTCGGCGTCGTTCTCGCCCTCGTCCTCCTCGTCGGATACGCGCTGACGTCAACCATCATGCGCCTTGCTGTTGCGCCTATTGCGACCGTCCAACATTAAACGCGGTAGCGTCCTGCTATGTGAAGACATCCGAAGCAAATGACCTAATAGACCAGTCAAAGGGTCACTGACCTTGCGCCTTGCTGTTGTGCTCGTTCTCGGCGTCGTCCTCCTCGTCGTCGACGTCGTCCTCGTCGGACACGTCGCTGCCGTCAACCACCGGTCAAGTCGCTGCCGTCAACCATCGGTCAAGTCGCTGCCGTCAACCGTCGACCACCTAATGTAAAGCAGCAATATGCATTATAGTCCAAGGGTCACTGACCTTGCGCCTTGCTGTTGTGCTCGTTCTCGGCGTCGTTCTCGCCCTCGTCCTCCTCGTCGTCGACGTCGTCCTCGTCGGACACGTCGCTGCCGTCGAACATCGAACCGGCGGAGCTCTCCTCAACTAGAAAGATTGATAAATTGATTTGAAAAATCTATGTTACTGGAGTTATAGTTTGCACTTTGCAGAGTGCTTAGGACTTTATGTATGCGATTCTGTTGCAAGTTGGGAATTTGATTTTTTTTTGTTTTTGAGCCATCGCCAATGAAGATAATAATGACTGTGCTAGAGAAGAAACTAATGAAGCTATTAGTTTTTTCATAAGACGATAAGGGGGTTATTTCCGCAGCGAAACAATAATGTTTTATCAAAAAAACCACCCAGCACACCCAGATTCGAATTTTCCTGAAATCCTACTTTGGAGTCCAAGTGAGGTACTATCGGCAACAGTGTTAACTGCCCATTGCCAGTCATGTCATCTCGTTCTCGCGAGAGCAAAAACGGAAATGGATAGTTAACAGTGTGGCCGTGTGTACATTTGCGGTTCTAAGGAAATCTCCATTCTCCAAATAAGAGATTCAATCTTATTTATTTATAATGATTAATGCAATTAGAAGTTAAAATATTACATTGTTTCCTGAACTTCCTGTCATGATAGAATAAAGTCAGTATTTCAGACAATATGGCAGAGTTCAATGGCTGAAATAAATAAATAAGTTCTTACCAAGATTATCATTGTAGACGGCACTGAGTGAAATGTCTTCATCTTCCTCATCCTCAACATCAGAACCTGAAAAGAAAGATATAACAAGCATAAGGACTTTTGTTTATCAGTTTCTCAACAGAGTAGTTGCCCCCATTGCTTAGACTTCACTCAATTGACTTCAATTGTTAAGTACACACCTGAATAGTCTCAAAAACAGTATGGGGTATATTCAGAGATTAGAGAGGGACAGTTACGTTTTGTAAATGTGTACATACACACCTAAAATTCTTATCAGTATTTTTATTTAGGTCAATACTAAGTTAATGACATTGTTACACTGTCAGTACAATCTTTTGTGGGTAATCATCAGTTAACAAACACATAACAAGCATCAGAAAAAATGCGATGCTTACGTCTCATGAGATAACCCATGTGGAATAGTAGCCCATACACACTGTATAATACCATTGGGAAGGTGGTTCTGTCCTCCGCTGGTCTTTCCGTTATGCTATCGTCATCTATCACCAGTGAACCCAAATCTATGTCCAAATCTGTAACGCAGTATAAAATTTGGAAGACCCAATGGTGTTATACAAGCTATAGTAAAGCTACTACAGACAAGAGAGCAAGCTATGGAATGATGTTGGTTTTTATGATACATAAATCTTATTTTACCAATGTTTTTATGACACACAAGTTCTATTTACCAAATTAATTAATGGAGTTTAGAATTTTTTATGATTATATTTCTTCGATTAAAAAAATAATAAAATTAAATCAGATACAGCTAGGAGTATTTTGCAGTCAAATAATTCAATGTTGCAGACATTTAAAGTAATTTGTGGCTGCCAGCAGTACCAAGACCATTTTATCAGTAGACAGAATTTCCTTATTAATACTTACTCTCTTCGTCACTATCATTGTTTCCATTCAATTCGTCTTCTTCTTCACTGTCCTCAACTTCACCATCGTCTTTGTCAAATCTGGAATGATAAAATATAAATACATTCATAAAAATAGTCACAGAAAGTATCAAGGGGATTAATGTTATTCTTATTATTGTATTTAAGTAGGTATGTGTTATGATATGAACTTACCCATCCAAATATTTTAATGATGGGTGTAAACCGAACACCTTACTCCTGTAGTCGTCGATACCTGTGACTTCATTGTTGAAAAGATCAAGATTCTTCAGATACTCAAACTCTTCCAGGGGTTTCAGTGTTTCTAAATCTTTGATTTTGTTCCCCGATAGATTCAGGTGTGTCAACTTCTTGCAGCCATTGAGGAAATTGAGGCCATTGGATATTCTGTTGTCAGAGAGTTCCAGCTTCCTGAGTTTTGGAAGTGTTGGGAAACCTTTGAGGGTTGTGAGTCCAACATTATTCAGGCTTAGTATTTCCAAGTTGGTGTACTCATCTGTGAGACCGATGATGTTGGTGCTTCTACAGTTGTCCAGATTCAACTCTTTCACCTGAAATAGAAGCATTTTTTGGATTTTAGAAAATGGAGCATTGCTACATGGGTTTACATGCTGTTGAGTATTTATAAGAATATCAAAATTGTTATGTTTTTGGTTTATTATTCCTTCAACAAGGTAATACAGTTGTCCAGATTCAACTCTTTCACCTGAAATAGAAGCATTTTTTGGATTTTAGAAAATGGAGCATTGCTACATGGGTTTACATGCTGTTGAGTATTTATAAGAATATCAAAATTATTATGTTTTTGGTTTATTATTCCTTCAACAAGGTAATACAGTTGTCCAGATTCAACTCTTTCACCTGAAATAGAAGCATTTTTGGATTTTAGAAAATGAAGCATTGCTACATGGGTTTACATGCTGTTGCGTTTTTATAAGAATATCAAAATTATTGTTTTTGGGTTATCATTCCATCAACAAGGTAATATTAATAATAATTACAGGACTAAGTGAAACAGTCAAAAAGCTCAAACTTCAAATTCATGTACTTAAAATATGATTCCTCTTAAGATTGATATAATTAAAATTCTAAAAATTAATTTATGCATCTAGTCAACTACTTAGCTATAACGCCGTTTCGTAATATGGGGCTTAAATGCTGATCCTAATACATTATAGTGTCAATAAATTATTGCTTTAGTTAAATACAGTAGGTAGGTCATAGGTAGTTGTTGAGACTTGTGATGTGATAATCCTACAGCATGGACTTATCATAGCTAGAGTAGGTACATAATAAAGTAGGTAGGTACGTATTTATACCTACATAACAACAGTGTTTCGAGCATGTTTCCAGAACATACAAAGACCTGTATACGTCGGGTTTTGAAAGTGGATTAAATATATAAAAATATGGTAGGATTTTACGACGAAAAAGGGCTCGAATTGGTAAAGAATTTCGATTAATTGATAAAATAAGTATTGAAACTGGCTTGATGGTTATTTTTATTGATAGTAGAGCGAGAAACGTCAAAATGGTGTGAGTTGTCAAAGCGACTGGCGCAGTTGCTAAAATCTGAGAAATGAGTGTCTTTTTTCGAGAAATATTGATTGAAATATCAATGGGATGTGTTCGTGAAGCTATTTATACCACAATATGTTATTTATGTGTTGTATTTTGCGTATAGAGTTGAAATCGTTTTCGTTTTGCAATGGCGGATGACACGAATCATCGCGACGCAATAAAAATGGCCGCTGTATGTATTGGTAAGGCGTGCGTCAATGACTGCAGACAAAAATGTGCTAATAGAATGAGATAAACTCTTCAAAAAGCTATCTACATAAAAATCTTATGTCTTAATTAAATTCATTGATCTAACGCACTTCAATCGTAGTTAATGCGGATAAAATAACAAGTCGAGTGAAAGGGCGCGAAATTATGCCGAACACCTAGTTAGTTTAGAATAGAAACCCTTGCGGTAGCAATGTGGATATAATTAAATGAACTGTATAGATTTATTGTAATGTTGTTCACGCTTAATTTAGAGAAGATAGATACGATAAATTGGCTTCACAAAAATGTATTGACATTGACAAGCCATAATCAATGAGCCCTATTTTTTAAATGCAATAGGGTTTCGGTGATGATTACTACTTTAATTTCACATTATGAAGTGATATCAATAGAATTCAGACAATTTAATTTACTGTTTTACAGATTAGGATCATAAATAGGTCTAATCCACGTAAATTCGTACGTTTCGACACTTAACCTCAATATGTGAATATTTACAAAAGAAATGATTCCACCTGCTAAAGAACCTCACATTGAGTGTTCTCTGATTATGGATCATAAGCTTAAACTAGTAGTATTATCAGAACTTTACAAATATGTAAAAGACATCTGTAATAAATATGTGCACATGAATGAAACGTAACAGTCGGTAATGGCCAATTTTCTGTATACAATAGCGCCACATATCCAATTAGGAAATGGATTTACATACTTGATTCACGAAATATCATGAACAACCCACAAAAACAACCATCTATTGAAAGTATTCCCATTTTTTACGTATTACATCTATGTACCTGACGAAATACGTATCGACAAAACATTCCAATTTATCGGAAAATAGAGAATAATTACCTGTGAAGGATTCCTTCCTCTTAGCTCCAAGGCGACCCTCTTTTCCATCTTGTGGATTTTGGTATTTTACACTTTATTTCACTTCTCAAACGCTTTTACAATATTTCCCAAGGAACTATTCACTAAGCTTGGGTTTCAAAACAGAAGGAAACTATAGATACACGAGTGACGTCGCGCTTGTGGCGCTGTCTGGTGGCAAAATATGGCAACCGGAAGTACAGTCATTGAGTGTCCTAATATCTCAAAAGATAACATTTGAAACCATAAATTAATAGTAAATTCTATAAATTGGTATAAATAATTCAAAAATAAATTTTAAACTATAGTTTTTAGTTTATTTACTCCTTTAAATTAAGTTTGGGTCACTTTTATCAGACCCTCTTATGGTTGTGTTGGCAGTATTACGCAGTTGGCAGCTTTGACCGCTACTTGGCGGGATTTATAAACAAATTGTGTTCCTGGTATTGTGGCAAGTAGGTAGAGCAAGTGCCCAGGACGTGGACCCAGGAATATTTTAGCAAAGTTTTCAGAATAATGAATTGAACGTTTAGATATTATTTTACTTCATCGGTTTTACAAATCAAACTACTGTTTTACCACGTTGAGTTAAAAAATGTTTTCCAAAATTAATACAGACTTGCAAAAATGCCTTTTTTCACAATGTACCTAATTACCTAATAATAAATAATTGAAGAAACAAAATTACTAAAACTTGACAGTAATTATGGCAAATGATGCATCTTAGTATGAAAAAAAATTAAAGTAAGTATTAATTTATAAGTAGGTAAGTAAGTACCTTGGGAGGAACAGTGGTCGACAGCAAAATATGTAAGTCATACTAAATTAACTTAAAAAAAAGAAGTTGTGTATGAAATAAAATACCACTCATTTTGTGACTGTGTAAAAATACCACGTTGACCACCGAGCGAGTGTTTGTTCCTCAAGGCAGTCAGTCAGTTTTTCTGTCAGCAAAATAAAATAACCGTATATACAATAGTAACTATTGCTGGGTGATTTACTATCTGTATTTAGGTAAGTATGTAATAATTAAAGCTAGCATAAATTAGAACGATTTTATTTAAATAGTCTAGTTAACTGTTGTATCCGGCGACCATCGACCCGGTGTGGCGCCACTGGTGCGCAGCGCTGATAGTCACGGGTTCCATTCCTGCCCCCTTAGACAAAACGCACTTTTTGATCGAATCGAAAATCGAATCCGTCAAATTCCATACAAAAAAGGGGCTTTTCGACCACTTTTCGACTGGTTTGCGATTATAATGGCACTTTGTCTAGACCCACTGGTTTAAATAAAATTGTCTCTCTTGCTAGTATAGCCTGACGAGGCCCCCTAGACAAAACGCACTTTTTGATCGAATCGAAAATCGAATCCGTCAAAACTCCATACAAAAAAGGGGCTTTTCGACCACTTTTCGACTGCTTTGCGATTATAATTTGCACTTTGTCTAGACCCACAGGAACATAAAAACCCTCGCCATGTTGCGGAAAATTAATGGTACTAATTTCTTTTAATGGCAACAGTAACTGAAAACTTCATTGACATGTCACCATGCATGTCAGTCTATTGCTGTCAAAGTGTAAACAAACTTTATTTTAAATGTGCGCAATTGATTTTGTGAATTAAATTGCTAAAATCTTTTTATAGTCGTGAAAGAAAAGTGGTTCACAATGTGTTAAAGTATTTGTCGAAGAGAAATACTAAGGGTTCGGACAATATTTTCATTGAATAATGTTTCCGACAAAGGTTGTCAAATTGACTGACATGTTTATCGTATAGTACAGTCAACTATGAAAATTAGCTGTGGTTTGATTTTAAAGTTTTTTGTCACTTTGTAAGTATTGAATTTTATGGAATTGGGAAAGAAGTACCGAATTTGAAGCGTTCATGAGCAGACATTGTAGATGAATATTCAAGTTCAGAATTTGATTATTATTGATGAATAATAATAAAATCCTACTTGCTCGATTGATGGTTTCATTTAATTTATTTAAACTAGTTTACCTATAATATAATATGTTTTGTTAATTTATGAAAATATCAAATTAGCCTATAATCCTGAATCCTGATACATAAAGTTAGCCTATTAATTTAATACAGGTACGACTGTACCCAGTGTTGCACTATCAAATGCAATTGACGCGCCTCTATGCCAGGGTTTTTATGTTCCTGGTCAGGCTATACCTGTTATTTTTAATTTTTGCAATATTTATTGGGGGGAAATGTGAAATTAATACCAGATCCATTGTATGATATGACCACCACCGTCCACCACCCTACGAATATTATGAGCTATGAAAAATATTTTCTTTTGAGGTAGATGCAGAGAGCGGTGATGTATGGATTATAATTATTTTGGTCTACCTATGTATATTTTATGCTGTACATAGATAGAGAAACCACGAGAAACTCTGTCCACGACTTATGCTCTACATCTTTGTTTTATTATGGCCTAAGCTCTATCGCTCTATGCTCTAATTTGGCAGAAGACGTGTGTGTCATGCAAGTTGTTGTCGCAACTTGTTTACATTTTACATCAGTGTTGTTTTGGATTTATCTTTATTTCATAATAAGCACTATAATCTTAATGGCTCGCAATAAAATTGAGTACTACATCGGCATCATAAAGAAAATATTGATTTTCTGCATAGTTGTTATAATACTGTTTGCTTACAAGGCTAGGAAGTTGCACCAAAACGAAGTCGCGTCGCAAATACCCAAAGAAGCTTTAAAATACATTTTCTTTGAAAAGAAACGGCACAAGCAACCAAGAGATACAAACAGTGTTGCACATTTGATTAATATCCACAATCAAGAAGAAACCATTCTGAACGCAGATATTTACGGACCTATTGCAAAAGATACGCTCGTTTTCGTTGTAACAGTCCATAAGCTTTCAATTTACTTGGAATTTTTATTAGTTTCGCTGTCTCAAGTACGCGGAATTGAAAAAGTCCTAATAATTTTTTCTCATTCATACTACGATGATGCTATTAATAATTTGATTCAGAGTATAGATTTCGCCCGTGTTTTGCAAATTTATTACCCTTACTCTATACAGGTGTACCCAGATGAGTTTCCCGGGTACAGTCCGCTTGACTGTACCCATAATATGAATGTGCAAGATGCTGAAGCAGTGAATTGCACTGGAGCACTGTACCCAGATATTCACGGGCTATACCGAAATCCTTCACAGTCGGAAACTAAACACCAATGGTGGTGGACAGCCAATACAATATTCGACAAGCTTTCATGTATGAAAAATCACACAGGAATTTTCGTATTTTTAAATAACGATATCTACTTGTTACAAGATTTCATATACATGATTGTGTATATGAATCAATTGGGCGAATTTCTGCCCCATCACGATTTCCTATCTTTAGATGCTGTGCTAGATTTAAATAAAATCGATGCATATCGGGCTGATATTGAAAAATGGGTACCAACAAACAACCCTGATGTTTTAGCCTTCAGTGCTGCCACCTGGAACAGCATTGTTTATCATTACGATCTATTTTGTCGTATCGATGATTATTCTTGGGCTAAGTCGCTGTATTATATCTCGTTGAACAGGAAGGATAAAAAAGAACCATTCAAAGTGATGTCGACGGCATTGGCCAGAGCGTTTAAGACGAGCAATTGTGGGTTTGAAGCGAAATTGGTGGACTGTGATGTCATTGAGACCGTTTTTCAGGTGTCAAATTTGCAGAAGAACATTAAAGATGACTTGTTCCCCTCATACTTGGACGTATACACCAAACTGGAGTTGCATGACGAATTTGAAAGTATCGAATATGCCGACCTCAATGGAGGATGGAACGATCCGAGAGATAAAGAAATGTGTAACAATATGTTGAATAGAGAAAAAAAGACTACACCATCCGATACAAAGATTACCAATTACAACAATGATTACAGAGATTTTAGTATTTAGAAAATATTATTATTGTGTAATGGGACTTAAAATGAAATCGCAATAAAAAGTTTTCACTACATCTTGAAATTGTAAATTACTTTATCAATCTAATTAAGGATTTGCACTTACCCGGTTTTAAAAGCCTTTAAACTGTCAAAATCTACTTTAATTTAAACGTGAATTTACACACATCTAGATACACTATATTATTATTATTAGCCGTTTGGCTTTCTGGTTCACGTGCTAGCAATCAGTGCTAGCTGGTTCGAATCCCGCTTGAGGAAAATGTTAACAAATTTGGTGGTGGTTAAATAACAAGCTTTGTTTCAGTTCTGGCATGTTCTGGCTAGGTTATTCGTGCGAGTTATTTTAGAAAATAATTTAAGTTAGTTATAGTAAAATTCATATTGTCTACATGTACCTACTTAGTTAAAAAAAATTGCACCTTAGGTTACGTAAATGTTAATGATTTATGGGTAAGCATGGTGAAATAATTAGTCCATTGTAGTATTAGTAGTATTTAAAATAGCATGGTAAGTTGTGTCACAAAGACGGTGTTTCAGCATGAAAAAAAAATTTTCAAAGTTGCGATTAGGTATAATGCAAACTTGACTTGCAACTTGCAGGTGTTATTCGCGGCAGGCATATCTAATAGTTGATTAGCAGTCACACGACAATTAAGACGGACAAAGAGGATGTCACCGAGGCAGTGCGCGTGGCGGTGGCCGTCTAGTAGGGCGGCTTGGGGCGCGGGGAGCCCGAACTTGCGCACGCAACCTCGGCCCGGCCGAGAGCAACAGTCTGCTCGCGTGAGCCGTCGCGATTCGGCCCAAACCGCGCGTAACATGTCCCATGGTAAGCACCATCACCACCACAACTCGATACCCACTACCCCAAAATACAAAATCACCCCAAACACCGATCCCAACCCAAAACAAACCTCCCCAACAAACTTTTCAGTGATGAATCCTCCGCTGTTTTCATTATTTATTTACGTGGACACGGCACGGACCGGACTTATTTTATATTAATACGAAACAATTATTTTTTGAAATTGTTCTCGCATGGAAGTTGGTACGAAAATAAGCTGGAAATATTGGAGAATGTTAAAATTCTCGCTCCTGCTTTCTTTACTTATAATAGCTGAATTGAAACGAAAGCACGAGGCGTAATAATAACAATTAAAAGAAAGTACGCATTTTTGTGATAATGGTAGAGAATTGTGACTGACAATGCCTGGAAAGCTCAACTTTTGGCGTACGTAAGTCTCAA